ACAGCATCTCGTCAAGCGTTGCATCTCGTCAAGCGCAGCATCTCGTCAAGCGCAGCATCTCGTCAAGCACAGCATCTCGAGCTCCCAGACTAACGCGACCAGGCGAAATCGTCAACGCAGCCTGCGTCAACGAGGCCGCCGACAGACAGGTGACGCCGTCGACGCAAAACGGCACCCCCGTGCTCGTCGTCCAGCGCGCCTTCAGCGCCGGGTTCCGCCCGGACCTCGTCGGCGTGCAGGCCTGCGTCGGCTTCAACGGCACGCACTTTCGCGCCGAGGACTGCGCCGCCGAGGGCGGCGGCGTCGAGCTCGTCGGCTTCACGGGCGCCAATGTCGTCGCGAGCGGCGGCGCGTGCCTCGACGGGCATGACGAGCGCGCGCAGGTCACGGTGGATGTCGCGGGCAACGACTGTGCCGTGTTTACGCCGACTGTCGTGACGCCTACTGCGCCTTAGAGTCGGGGCCGGGGTCACGGTGCTTTGTGGTCGTTTGAGTCGTCTGGCCGAGAGGTCTTGTGAACGATGGTCTTTTTTCCTGGAGGGAGGTGGTGATAGCCTTGCTTCGGAGAAAGGAAATGTTGCTTCTCGTGTAAATGATTGGGAATGCTCCTCGCTTGAGCAGATGAATAATACCTTTACCACGACAAATCTTGCATGCCTTGTAGTGAGAGACTGTCGAGAGTCTGCTTCATACAACATGACGTGTTTGCTTGCCACTAATTGAGGCCGTGACACAGCCCTTGATTCACTTCCAGGGAGGAACGTCACCCGCAGGATCAAGAGTCAATTGATCTCCCCGACATCCGCCCTCCCCGGATCCAAGACTTTAAGCCCCGTCGCTCGGTCACAACCACCGAGCGCATCCGAACAACGGATGCGAATGGAGTCGAAGAGTGGATAGCACGGACTGTCGGACGAGGCCGCTACCAGCCTTATGAAGCGCCAAAGCCCGCGCCAGAGACGCATCATCTCATGCGCCTCGTCATCTCCATCTGCCCCCAATTTCTCCGCCTGCATCCCCCCACGATCCTGACTCCATCCTCTCTGGCATCCCCGCCCTGCTTGACTCGTCACTTTTCATCGTCGCTACATCACCATAGATGGAGACGTCGTGGGAACAGGTCTCGCCGACCACCTTTCGCCAGAAGCGTGCCGTCATCGAAGGCTTCTACAGCCGTATCCGCGGCGCCATCGGCCAGCCGTCAGATTGGATCCTCACGAGCACCGTGCGGTTTGCCAACCACAATGGCCTCACCGCCGGCGAGACGACCGCCGCCCTGAAGAAGGCCTGGCTCCAAGCCCGCCGCGACGTGCCTCAGATCGCAGCGACCCACGACGACGACGCGGCGACGAAGATGATTGAGCTCCCCGCCAATGCCGCGGCCCTCACCGCCTGGCTCGACGAGACCTTCCTCATCTGGCCCGACAAGACGGCAGACGACGTCTACCGCACAGCCGTCAACCGCCGCGTCGCAACCCTCATCTACTGCCCCGCCGCCCGTGAGCTCACGCTGCAGATCAACCACGCCTTCATGGACGGCCGCGGCACGCTCCTCTTCTGGAACGCCTTTTTTGACGCTCTCGCCGACCCGCAGAACGTCATCCTTTCAGCCGAGACGCTGCTGCCCAACCTGCCGCCGTCTCTTGACGCCCTGATCGGTATTCCCGAGACGGCATCGGACGAGGCCAAGGCGGCCGTGCCCGAGGTCCTGGCCCGCGCGTCGACCGCCAGACCCATCAAGACGCCGGTTGCCGATTTGACGAGACCGCCCGCCGGCTTTGGGCGTCGCGCACTGCGCCTCAGCAAAGCCGAGAGCAGCGCCGTCTTCGCGGCGTGCAGGGCGAGAAATGTCACCGTCACGGCGGCGCTGCAGATTGCGGCGGGCATCGCCGTGCAGGAGGTGCAGCGCGAGGTTGAGGGCACGGCCGGGGACACCTGGGCCGGGCTCGCCAACTTTGACTGCCGGCGGTACTTCCCCGACGAGTTCGCTGCCGCCAGGGCCATGGCGGCCTGCTACTTCGTCGTCATGCCGTACACGGTTTCTCTGAGCGAGGAAACCTTTGACGTGGCAGCGAAGGAGCTGTCGGATCGGTATAGGGGCGGGATCAAGCACCGAGACGCCGAGAACGTGTTGGAGGCCCTGCCAGCATCGACCGACGTCTTTGTCGAGGCAGCGCTCGCGGGTGTGAGTTCGGGCAACGCGCCATGGTACACGGCGTTGGGCATCGTGGATGACTACATCAAGGTGCGGCATGGCGATTGGGAGGTGGAGGACTTCAAGATCGCAAACACGCTGCAGGGTCCAATGGTGCAGTTCCTCATGTGGACGTTCAGGGGCGAGCTGGTGTTGCACGGCGCGTACAATGAAGCGTACTACGAGCCTGCGTACGTCGATGACCTGCTGGCGAGGAGCGTCGCTGCCCTGCGACGAGCGCTTGGGGTCACCGATGGCGAGACCAGCTCATCCGGTGATGGTCCCGACCAGGGTGCCAACGTGTTGGCAGCTTAGGGTGTGCTGTACATGTAAAGTTGCAGACACATGACCGATTCAGGCATAACCAGACAAAAGTTAAAGTACCCATGGCAGGATCCCTTTGTGGGGGTTACTTTTTGCTGTCAGATTGACTCTCATCGTGCATATGGCGTGACCTTGTTGCCACAGGGTGCTGATCCGACGAGCACTCGCAGACGGCAAAAAGTAAAAAGTGAAGTTCTCTTTCGAGATGCGTCAGGAATTGAGCCCAACGGGGGGCTCGAACCCCCAACCTTGAGATTAAGAGTCTCACGCTCTACCGATTGAGCTAGCCGGGCAGGCAGGTTGCTTGTTGTTGGAAGAAGGGTTCGGATTGCGGCTCATGACTGATGCGACAGATTCGTGGGTCGAGACAGAATTTTCTCAACGCGTGGCTGCGGTGTTTTTTTTTTTTTTTGCCTTGTCGGTGTTGGGTTCCCACTTTCGTTTCGGGGTTGATGGGGCCGAGTCATGGTTGTGCTGGTTTGGTGAATGGGGTCTCCTGTAGCACGAGCATCGGCTTCATGCCAGTTCTGTTCCACTTGGGATCAGAGGAGGCTTTTGCAGACGTAGGCTTGATCGGATGTAGACAATAAGAGACAGCGGCTGAGCTCAGGGCGCGGTATTCGCCAGCGACGGAGCATCGAATCCAAAGGAGACCCGAGGCACGACGCGCCAACTTGCCCTTGATGTTTGCCGAGGCTGCCCAACATCTCCTCCCAGCAGGCACCACGTCTCGTACGACGACCACGGGATGGCCACGACGCACTCCGTCGCTGGAGTGGCAAACCGCTGGACGACCTCGTCGAGGGCCGGCTGCAGTTTCTCCCGCATGGCCTGCGCGCCCTCCCTCGGGCTGTCAAAGGGGACGCGGCGCTCACCGTCGCGCTTGGCGTAGAGGCCCATGAAGTCGCCTTCGAGGGAGATGAGCAGGTACTTTAGTGCAGGACATACGGGGCCGCGCAGGGACGACGGCGGCAGGTAGGAGCGGCTAAAGCTGCTCTGCGCCATGTTGGACAGGGCAGCGTCGTCGGCGGCGTTCTCGTGGCCTTCCTTAAAGTACCAGCGGAACCTGAGCGATGTGATCTGGGCGAGGCGCTGGGCGGGCAGGAAGGCATCGGGCCGCTGTATGAGCAGGTTGGAGGAGATGTGGATGATGTTGGTGCTGTAGAGAACATGCACGCCTTCGACGTATCTGTACCTCGTCAGCCACCACTGCAACCACTGCTCACCCTCACCAAAGAGAGTAAGAAAAATAAGGGCCTACGTACGCCTGCCGACAGGACAGCAGCCAGCCCATGACGCCAACGAAGCACCGACCGGGCCACTCCCCGGGCCAGGCGTCACAGTCCGTCCGCCCCGTGAGACAGCCATCCGTAGACAGATCCACAACTTCGGTCAGTGAGGGGTCAAAGGACCCGACATGGGCGGCCCTCGCATGGCAGACGCAGCCGAACCATCGCCAGGCCTTCGGGCTGCTCTTGTCGACGGTGATGCGGCGGAAGCCCTGGCCGGAGTGAAAATACATGTGATCGCAGAATATGTGAGCGTGGGGCCGCTCCTTCTCGGGCGTCGTCAAGGGCGCCGGGGCAAAGGGGCGGCGAAAGGCGAGGTCGATGTGGAGGGTCTGGCGGCCAAAGGCGTAGAGGAAGATTTGACGGCGCAGCTCAAAGGGAAGGGTGAAGAACGGGGAGGACTGGGCTGCAAAAGACGGGGCGCTCTCTGTTGCTCCCGGAGAAGACGACGGCGTCAAGGGGCGGCGGATTGCTGATGGCGGCAGGATGGGCGGGATGGATTCATCTTGGCGGTTTGAGGATGAGCGGATGGGGATGGGCGTGAGTTCGTTGGCGTCGCTGCGACGCCGGCGTTCGCGTCTGTCGTGGGACCACGAATGAAGGCGATGCAGCAGGGACATGGATGGGATGGACTGCGGGACGAGAGAGATGCGGGAGCTTTCTGGGTCGATGTTGTCGGTCAGCAGACGGTGGAAGAGAGAGGATGGACGACGACGGAGAAGTAGCGTCGTGTCATGTTGAGGCAGGTGCAGAAGGCGGGGTACTTTGACGTCTCCTGATGGGGACATGAAGGAGGGTCCGTTCCTGGTATGCATTTGTGATCATCATGAGTTTGATTATTTTATCAATATCTATTCCAAGATTATTCCAAGATTGTTCCAAGATTTACTCAAAATACGTCTGACATGCCGATGCACCCCATGGCGTAACCAGATCTCCGTACGATTCCATGTGTCGAGAGGCTGCAATTCGCAGAGCCATCGTGAGATGCACGTGTTTTTGACCAACATGCCACATAAGCTCTGCACATCCAAAGGTCAAGTCCAAGGGAAAAAGTAGATTCTAGCTACCTGGTTGAACAAGTAAATCATGGTAGTGTGCCTCGCTATGCTGCCGTCTACCCAGTCTACCGTCCAAGCACCAAATCATACCAATACATCTAAGGGAGCGCCACGACATCGTCAGAGTCCATGCCCCGGAACCCATCTTCGACAACCCACGCCCTGCCCTTCTCGGGGGTATACAGCGCCTCACACGCCCTGCCTACGACCAGCAGCCCCGGCGGCCGGCTGCCCTCGGCCTCGATGGCCTCGGCCACGACGCCGAGCGTCGTCCGGATGACCCTCTGATCGGGACAGCTCGCCCTCTCAATGACAGCGCACGGCGTGCTGCGCGGCCACAACTTGCGCATGCCCTCGCCCTCGCCCTCGCCCTCGCCCTCGCCCTCGAGCGGCGCCGTCAGCTCGTTGACGAGGCCGCTGATGCGGTGCAGCGCCATGAGGAACACGACGGTGCGGGCCTCGAGGTACTCGGGCGGCACGGGCGCCTTGCCCTTCTTGCCGGTGCCCGTGCAGACTAGGACCTGGTCGGCCACGTCGCGCTGCGTGACGGGTATGCCGGCAAAGAGGGGCGCGCTCAGGGCCGACGTGACGCCCGGCAGGACGACGACGCGGGCGCCGAGGCCGTGGGCGCGGAAGAAGGCGACCTCCTCGCCGCCGCGGCCGTAGAGGAACGGATCGCCCTGCTTCAGACGCAGCACCGTCTTGCCCTCGTCGCGGGCGGCCGCCAAGGCCAGCGCGTGCAGCTCGTCTTGCGCGGCGTCGGCGTTGCCGGGGAACTTGCGCGCGATGCGCACCGGTGTGCGCCGCGGGATGAGGTCCAGCACAGGCGCCGGCACCAGCTTGTCGGCGAGGATGAGGTCGGCCGTGAGGATCGCCTTGTGTGTCGCGCGTGTCAGGAGGTCGGGGTGGCCTGGCCCGCTGCCGGCGAGAATGATCTTGCCGACGGCGGGGCGACCGGCGGCGGCGGCGGCGGGCGGGGCGGTGAGCGGGGGCAGAGGGGCGTCGGGGAGGAGGGCAGACAGGTTGGCGTACGACTCGAGGACGGTGGCGACGTCGGCGTCGGTGATGGCGGCGAGGCGCTTGAGGGGCCAGTACTCGCAGACCTGGCTCAGCCAGCGCATCCTACGCGTCTTGGCGGCTTCGAGGTCGGCTTCGATGACGAGCTTGTTGAAGGAGGCCGTCTGGTCGACCGAGTCATCCGCGTCGGCATCGACATCGGTCTGGCTGTGTGCGTGTTGGTCTTCTTGCTGGATGCGACGACGAGCATCGCCGAGGCGCGCACAGGCGGAGCCTAGGTCGGGCGGCAGCGCGGCAGCGACCTCGCGACGTATCCTCGAGGCGAGCTTGCAGCCACGGCCATTCGTCGTGACACCGATCTGAAGGGGTCCATCCGTGTGGACGGACAGGAGGGAGAGGGTGCAGAGGTGGGGGGCGTCCACCACGTTGACAGGGATGCGGTTGCGTTTGCAGAGAGCTGAAATGTGTGATGCTGTCGTCTGTCAGTACATGGTACTCATGTCGAAGTGAGCTGAAACATGGGTGAGAACTCACCTTGAGGGTCTCTCGGGCCCGAGGTGATGAAGACGGCATCGACAACATGGTCAACCTCGTCACGGCCGAGGGAGAAGAGATCGCTGTCCTCAAAGGCCTTCTTGTGCCAGGTCACCTCGCCAGCATCAATGCGCTTGGCGAGGCCGTAGTGAAGGTCTTCCGTGTCAGGGGCGATGAGGAGAGCCTTTGCACCGGCAGCCACCGACTGGCCACATCGTGAGGCGGCCAGAGGGTTCGTGCCGATGATCAGGTGGACATTGCCCGTGCAGTTGAGGGCTGCGAGGAGGGACATGGTGGAGAGTCGGCAGTCTGCGAGCAGGAGGCAGTCCACAGGAGAGGCAGTCCACAGGAGAGGCAGTCCACAGGAGAGACAGTCCGCAGGAGAGGCAGTCCACAGGCAGGAGAGGCAGTCCACAGGCAGGAGAGGCAACGATCCAAGATCCAGCAAGGGCTCAGAAGAGAGATGGCCTTTGACGCATGGTGGAAAGTTGTCGATATCTCTCAGCCTCCCAAAGGCAAAAAGCGATAAGCTGCTTGCGGCCGTATCAGTCAGTGGCAGGCGCGATGGGGCCATCTCCGTTTGCTCGCCGGTGTCGGCCACTGACCAATCACGGCGTCGGCATTTGCCCATCAATTTTCGCGCTACCGAATCACGCAATCCCGATGGCCGGGCCTCTATCCGCCCAATCAGCACCGCTTTTATGGGTCCCCTCGGAGCGCACACGGAGATGTTTTGCTTGCCACTGACGCTTATCTGGCTCTCAAGTTGGGTTGTCTTGGTTGTCAGCTTATCTGGCTGTCATGTTATCATGGGTTCCCAACAGTTGATGCATCTCCTATCCGGACCTTGCATCTCTTCACTAGATACCAGACGCTCGATCTATCAGAGATATGACCAGAGAATTGGATAAGGCACCTAAGAAGGTAGGAACAATTAGAATACCAAACTACCAGATTCCGTGTCACAGCCCATAGTACCTTACCTAAGGCACTTCCCTAATCATGCCCCATGATAACCCCCGCATCTCCACTAACTGCCCTAAGATGCAGTGCTAACCGCCCTAAGATACAGTGGCGGGCGTCCCCCGCGTCGGTACATGCTGCCGCCCGTTTCAATGTTCATCACCAAACTCATGAACACATAATCATACTTCCACGGCGATTCGTCTTCTTCTATGATTACTCCTGCAGTCGTTGCAAAATATTATGCAAAGATTATCTATTCCTTCATCTCCGGGCCGTCGCTCATATTTTTAAAAATGACCTCACTGTGACAAGCTATGCTGTGTCATATCAACACTATCATCGAGGTATCAAAGTGGCATTACTCAGCCTATCGCCCGTCCATGCTAGATGTACATGCAGTATTCTATCCCGCGCCATGTCCGTGATGTACACATATTTTTACAAGCCTCGTCTCGTCCCGAAACCCTCAGTCCTCGCCGAGCAGCGCCTGCATCGCCGTCTTGCGCGGCGGCAGCCGGCCCCCCTTGGTGCGCCTCTCGGGCCTCGACCGGCCCCCCTCCTTGATGCCCGTGACGCCCGTCTCGTCGTACTCCATGTTGATCTTGTCGACCTTGTTCGACGCTTTGGCCCGCGCCTTCTGCGCCCGCACGCCGCCGTCGTCCGCCGCCGCCGGCCGTCCCAGCCGCACCGCCCGCTCGGCCCGCACCTTGGCGCCGAGCGCCCACAGGTCGCCCCACGCCGCCTTGCGCGCGTCGTGGTACGCCTGCTTGCCCCGGCTCCGCGGCACCGTCCACCGCTCGATGCGCCCCGACGGCGTGCACACCTCGAGCTGCACGTGGCCCTTGCGCTTCAGCGGCGGCAGGATCTGCCGCGGCAGCGACAGCATGTTGGGCGCGCGCGTCGCCTCCTCGTACCCGGCAAACGCCCGCTCCGTCGCCTCGCGGCCGACGAGGAGGTTCGCCGCCGGCGCGCCGCCGCGCTGGATCGCCACGTAGCTGAACTGCACGTCGTCGTCGTTGCGGTGCTTGGCCTCGAGGATCTGCTGCAGAAACCGCGGCCGCGTGAAGCGCTGCTGGAACGAGCAGAAATCCTTGCGCCCGGTGCTCTGCCCCTTGACCGCGTACATCGGGCACGTCTTGTGGTTCGTGCACGGCGCCACGATCATGCCCGGCTCCTTGGGCGCCCGGTACCCGGCGTCCTGCGCGTCCGTGATGGTCGGCTCCTCCGCCGAGTCGACCGGCGTCTGCAGGTACTCGTTGATGAGCCGGTCGCGTACGTCGGCGACGGCCTCGAAGCCGCGCGGGTGCGCCTTTTCGATGAATATGAGCACGCCGCCTTCGGGCGACAGCAGCGACCAGAGCTGGTTCAGCACGGCCGTGCGACGGTGTCCCTCCTTGACGCCGAGGAGCACGTACGACGCCACGATGACGTCGTACACCTTCCTCTGCTGCGGCACCTGCGGCGCGTCAATGTGCTTGTGCACATTGTCGTGCGAGTGCACATAGTCGGGGAGCCTCGGCAGGAACGTCGTGTCGTCGAGGAACGTCGAGACACGATGCCGCAGCGTGTCGGAGCCCACAATGACCGTCTTCTTGCCCGGTGGCACCCAGCCCCTGACCTCCTTGCTCTCGCGCATGACATCCCATTCGGCTTGCGCCACATCTTGCCACGCTGCGAGACTCGCGCCGCCCGAGCCGGCGTCGAGGATTCGGGGTCCGCCCTCCTGCTTCAGCAGCTTGCGGATCCACTCAGTGCCGAGGCGCTTGCGGACTTCGGTCAGGGTGCTCATGGCCGAGGCGTAAGACGGTGGCAAGACCGTGGCGATGAAAGCGTCGGCGTCAATCTGCGACATTTTGGGCTGCGCTGCCTGCAGACCGACGCCTAGCTGCGGGACAGACCTCTTGGACGCCGGGGTCGCCGGCGAGTTGGGCAGACCTCCACCTCCCAGCGCCGCCTCGGCAGCCAACCTGATATGTTTGACGTGTGTCCTGTCGAGAAGTTGCGTAATCGGGTCGTTGAATGCAGCAGTCGGCAACGGCAGCGTCTTGGGGCTCGTGGCGAACCGGCCTTCTTGGGTGTACGGGTGGGTTCGCATGCCGACAAACTCGCCATCATCCCAGTCGCCGGCCTCCTCACGCGCCTGGGCCTCGGCCGCTCGGGAAGCAGCCTGCATCTCGGCGAGCGCCGCCCTCGACTCCTCCGTCCGTTCGTCGCGCAGCCTCCTATCCTCTTGCCGCAGTTGTTCGAGAGCCTCTGCGTGTTCGTCTCTTCCCGCCTCTGCGGCCGTGCGCCGCTCAAACTCTGCCTGTGATGCTTCCTCCTCTTTCTGTGACCTCAATCTTGCCGCTTCAAAGTCCTTCTGCAGCATGACGAGCGCATCGTATTCGCGCTGGTTCCTCGCGGTTGCATTGATGTAGTCGTGCTGGTCATCCGTGAGTTCATGCTCGTGCTCGTGCTCTACCTCGCTATCGAGAAGAGCAGCCTCCTCGGCAGACTGGCGTTCGGTCGAGTAGTCCACTTCTTCGAGATCGCCATCTGCCGCCTGGCGCAGCAGGACGGGGCTGTCTTGGTCCTGCCTGGGCTTGGGCTTGGCGGCGAACTTGCCGTACGGAATACCGACATCTTCAGGTGTCGTCTCGCGCAGGGGCGGGCCGAAGAGTCGCACGTAGTGGTTGTATTCCTCCTCGTTGAGGTAGCCTTTGGGCAGGGTGTCCCTGAACCGTTGCTTGGCCTCCTGCACGATCTGCTCAATGTCGGCAGGGCCCTCGTGTCCGGCGTTTTCAGGCGAAGCGTGTTTGTCGGCTGGTTGTTCGGATGCAAGCGATGGCTGTTGGTTGTCGAGGGTTCGGTAGGTTGTGGCAAACGATCGAAATGCCGAAGCAGATATCGTCGTCCGTGATGGGAGGATTCGTTGCGGCGCCAAGCACACTCCCCTGTTTGAGAAAGTTGTCGTCGCGACAGTGTGTCCAGTCCAGGGTGTCAGTCGGGCCCTGCAGCTGGGGCAAGCTTTCCTGAGGCTGCCAGCAGCCAACATTTTCGACATGATGACCGTGAGCGAGTGATGATGAAGGGAATGGAAAAGGAGAGGCAAAAGGCAAAGCTCGATTGCAGAAGCTCAGATCTGCGTCTCGAGAAGGACCAGAATTTAGGTGGGGCCATTGTCAATGTGAGGTACATGATTGGGTGATCTGCACTAAGCCGGACCCTGCCTTTTGCCAGTAGACAGCCTTGACGACCTTGACAGCCTCAGTCCGTCAAGGAGGGTCCCTCGAGTCTGGCAAGTGTCTGGGTGGCCATCCGACATGCGCTGCTTTTATGACACCAGAAATGTGGAACATAAGTTGAGCCAGAATCATCACAGTCACGGTCTTCAACAGCAGCAAAAACCTGGTATCATTCACGTGGGCAGCAGTTCTATCGTCTACCCCTCAGTCCATTACTTACCTGTCTGGGGGCTCAAGCTTCGAGCCTCGCGCCTCGAACTTGATTGCAAGCCTCTTGGCCCCAGGGGTCGCAGCCTTCGACCCCTACTCATCCTTGCCCAGGTCAGCCAGCGTCCTGAAGGCCGAGGGCCGCGCTGGCGGCGCCCTCGCCTTTCCGCCGGGACCGGCACCACGGGCGGCATCTCTAGCGGGCGGGTTCACGAGGTTAAAGCTCGACTTTTCGGCGGCTTGCAAGGGATCGATCTATAGAGGCCCAGTTAGGCAACCAATCCGTGAACATGGACCAGAACCCGGCCTCGGGCACGCCGAAGAGGTAATAACGCACTGCAACGAGCGTGACGACGTAAAGGGCCGCGATCGTGAAGAGGTGGCGCAGGATCGAGACGACGTCGAAGCCCGAGTTGTAGGGCCGCGACGGCGGCAGGCCTCCGCTGCCGGCTGCCGCGCCGACGCCGACGCCCTGGCCGCCGAGCGTGCGGCCGGGGGTGCCGAAGGAGGCGCCGCCGGCCTTGGTCTTGTCGGGCAGCTTCATGGCGTTGGCGACGGCGGTGGCGAGGGCCGGCGGGTTGGCGCCGCGGATCGTCTCGATGGGCTTGCCGGCGTGGAAGATGATAAAGGTCGGCATGGCGCTGACGCCGTGGGCGCGCGAAATGGTCGACTGCGTGTCGACGTTGATCTTGCAGAAGGCGGCCTTTTTCGGCTTGGAATACTCGTTGGCCATCTTCTCAAAGTGCGGCGCAATGGCATTGCAGGGGCCACACCAGTCGGCGTAGACTGCGTTTGGTCAGCAAAAGATCACCGGGAGCATCAAGGTGGGGGGGGGGGGGATTGTGCTAGGGATTGCGACGTACAGTCTGCGACGACAACGTTGGTGCTGTTCAGAACGTCCTGCCATTGTGACGGCGACTGGATGCTGATGAGGCCGCTCATGATGGGCTGTGCGCGTGTGTTTTTCGTGAGGACCACAAGGCAATTGTCGGAGATCCTGAGGAGGGGGAAAAGAGAAGAGAAGGGGCAATGCGAATCGAGGCGCGGAGGATGCGGTTGATGAAGGCAGCAGATGGATGATGGAGGCCAGCCTGGACATTGGCGTGATCGTTCCATTGGGGCGGGAGAATGAAGTGGACCTGGCCTAGGCACAGCTCCCCGGTCGCCTTCGGGAGGGACTGGGGAAGATAAGCCCGAATTGGGTAGGTGGTGTTGCTGATAAGGCGTTCTGCCGCATACGTGCATCGAGTCCACAATTGCGGGACCAGAAACTTTTGCTTTTCGGTTTGAGAAGGTGCTGCCGCTGCTGCTCTTGCTAGGCCTTCTCGATAGCCTCATTTTGTCGGACTTCACCTCGTTGCTTTGTCTTTCACACATTGCCATGTCTCGCCCAGATCATCCAGAAAAGGCCAGTGACGCTTCCATCGACAACTCATACAACCATCTAACAAGCAACAGCGCAGGAAGCTCGGCCACGATGACGAGGCCCCTCCCAACCGAGACCCCCCGAGGGCTGCGGCCAGATTTCACCCCATTGAGGGAGGTCGTGACTGGACAATATCGGTGGCCATCCCCGGCAGCATCGTCGCAGAGTAGGAGGAATTCCGTCTGGGCACAGCACACAGTCTCTAACAAGAAATCAGCTACAAGACCCTCGACCAGCGCATGACCGCCCCCGGCCGCATCGCCCGCGCCCTGGCCATCTTCAACGTCGACGAGGTTGTCGTCTACAACGATCTGCCTCCTCTCACGAACGAGGGCTACCAGGAACAGCCCCTGCCGCATAAAAAGGACCGCCGCGACAATCGCTCCCACGGCGGCCACAACTCGCGATCCTCCCACAGGAACGACAGCGAGTCCTCCATCACAGCCGACGTCGACCCCTGCCACTTCCTGACACACGTTCTCTCCTACCTGGAGGCACCGCCCTTTATGCGCAAGGCTCTCTTCCCCATCCACCCCAACCTGCGACTCGCCGGTCTCCTGCCAGGCCTCGACATGCCTCACCACCCGAACCCCATCGACATCGCCCTGCCGTACCGCGAGGGCGTAACCCTCGAGGCCATGGCCCCCAACGCCAAGGGCACCCTCGTCGACATTGGCAACCGCGCGCCCGTCCACCTCAAGGACGAGGTGCCCCCGAAGACCCGCGTCACCGTCCATTTGCCCGAGGGCGACAACGGCCCCGCCGAGGCCGTCCACCCGGCCGCCCCGCGCGAAGAGGGAGGCTACTACTGGGGCTACACGGTGCGCCGCGCCGCTTCCTTGTCGGCCGTCTTCGAAGAGTCCCCCCACGAGGGCGGCTACGATCTGAGCATCGGCACGTCGGAGCGTGGCGACTCTGTGAACCGCGCCTTCCCCGACCTCAAGAAGACGGCAAAATTCAAGCACCTGCTCATCGTCTTTGGCGGGCCCAAGGGCATCGAGCACGCCGCCTACAACGATTCCCAGCTGTACGAGATGGGCATCGGTGGCCAGGGCACGAGGCAGCTGTTCGACCACTGGGTTAACGTGCTGCCGGGCCAGGGCAGCCGGACGATGCGCACTGACGAGGCGGTCTACGTGGCCATGGCCGGGCTGAGGAGGGTGTGGGATCTGAGCTAGGCGATTTGTACAGAGGACACTGGAAGAGGAAGCAGTGGACACTGGAAGAGGCAGCAGTGGGACGCATGAACCATGTTCACAGAGAGGAGAGAGTGTCGTGGTCGAGGATACCCCGGAATTTTCATCAAAAAGTAAAAGTTGGGCTAACGTGCTAAATTTTGTTTCTGCCATGAACAGCGTGGTTTGAACGTTCTGACCATCGTTTAAAAGACTTCACTTGGTCATGGAAGGAATGAAGCAGAAGGAGAAGGAAATCCAAAAGGCAACGATTCCCCACAACCACCTCTCCCCAAGACAAACACGAGAAAACCGGAGAAAAGAAAAGTCCTACTCGTCGTGTCTGTAAACGCCAATCCCCGCCGTGAACCCCGCGATATTGTCGTCGTACGACGCAATGTCCCTGCCGTTGCGGGTGATCATGGCCCTCGTGCCGACAATGTTGAGGTTGTAGACCTCGACGCCCGACGACGAGCCGACGACGCCGCTGGCCGTGGCGTTGCCGTAGACACAGCCGCCGTGGCTGCCGCCAATGTCGAAGAGGCGCTGCTGGCAGCGGGCGCCGGCGCCGATCTGGCAGCAGGCGGTGCTGTAGTCGTTGAAGAAGCTGTAGAGGCCGGCGCCGTAGATCTTGATGTCGCGCGACGCCTCGATCTTGAGGGCCCAGGCCATGGCGCAGGGCACGCGCGGGTCGGCGTCCGGGTGGGCGCCGGCGGCGCACTCCTTGGCAAAGTCCGGGTCGTGGTAGGCGCGCGCCGGCGGGAAGGGCACCGTCGCCGGCGGGTTCGGCTGGAAGTAGGGCGTCTCGGTCTGGATCTGGCCCATGTAGACGTCGCGCGTGCGGTGGAAGAGGTACTGGTAGAGCACGTGGTGCTCGGAGCTGCTGGCGTGGAACCAGAGGCGGCCCTCGTCGCTCTCGACGAGCACGCCGCGGCCCGCGAAGATGGTGATCTGCCGGTACGTCGGGTCCTCGAGGTCGTGGTCCGCCACCCACACCCAGCAGTTCTCCATCAGCAGGCCCGCCGCCGGCCGCGTGATGTGCATGCTGCCCCAGGCCGCGAAGCACGACGGCTCAATGGCCACCGTCCGGTTCGGGTACGTCGGGCACTGCTCGAGCAGGAGATCCGTGCCGGCGAAGCCGCCGACGCGAATGTGCACGTCCCACATGCCCGACGCCTCGCCGGCGACCGAGTGGAGGTTGTACTCGAGAATCTTGGCGCCGGGCGCCGGTCCGCGCGTCGACAGGATCATGTCCGACCACTCGATGCTGCCCTTGTCGCCGGCGTTGGCCACCTGCACGACGGGGTGCGGCTTGTTCATGTCGCTGTAGCGCGGGCCGCCGCCGAGGATCGTCGACGACAGGGCCTCGCCGACGATGCGGGCCCCGGCGGGAATGAAGACCGTGTCGGTGACGTAGTAGGCGCCGGCATCCACAAAGGCGATGAGACCGCTGGCTGCCGTGTGGGCAAAGAGCTTGTTGAGGGCGGCCGTATCGTCGGTGCTGCCGTCACCCTTGGCGCCAAAGGTGCGGGCCGATACGAACGCGGCAACGGGGTACTCCTCGTAGTGCGGCTTCGAGCGCTCGTAGTACTTGCCCTCGCCGTCGAGGAGCACAGCGGGCGGCGCGGGGAAGTAGGCAGGCGCGTTGCCAGTGAAGACCTTCGGGCCAAAGGGGTCGTAGACGTGACCCATGGCGAATCCGGCGTTCGTAACAGTCTGCGCTCCGTTGGTACCAGGGATGATGATACCCTGGGGTCCGGTGAGAATCTCGGCCACCGACTCGAAGAGGACGTTGTACATGACGAGCGTGCCAGCCGAGGAGCTCCTCGTTGTGTTGGACGCGCGAGCCGTGGAGATGGCCGTCTCAACCTGGCGGAACTCGCTGTCGAGCAGTGTAATCGAAGCCGTCCCATTGTCGACCATGCGAATGCCGGTGCCGCAGTTGTCGATGTGGATGCTCTTGTAGGTCCAGCCCCAGTTCCAGAGCTGGTTGATGGCGACCTGGGCGTTGGAGATTTTCCAGTTGCGCGCCGTGTACTGCTGGTTGCCGAGGTTGGCGGCGTACTGGCCGCCCTCGAACGTGAGGTCATTGAGCAGACCGCCGGATCCCTCCTCGATGAAGAGACCGACGTGCTTGCTCTGGGCGCCCTCGGCGAGCTTGAACACGCAGTTCGTAATGGCAGTGGCCTGCGAAGACGGCCAGTGGATGCCAAAGGCGGCCTTTTCGGCCGGGATGGCCGTAGTGTCGAGAACGAGGTTGCGAATCTGGCGGAAGAAGGTGTTGGTGGCGCCGTAGGCTAGACCGTTGGCACCATATTGGTTTCCATCAATGAGACCGAGCGTCGACTCGGTGGGAAAGTTCGAGGCGGCCTTGATGACGGGCAGATCCGTCGGGTCGCCGATGAGCTGCGTGTAGTAGTAATCAATGATGGATCCATTGATGAGATAGGTGCTTTTCGTCTGTCAGTCTCGTAACCAGACCAAGTTTCGTCCCTCCTTTTCTTCTTGCCCTCGATGAAACTCACCCAGGTGGGAAGTAGACGGTGGCCGGCGACGTCGTCTCTTGCTTGCAGACACCAGGAACGCATCGCACACCAAAGCTGATGGCTCTGTTAATGGCGGCCGTGTCGTCCGTCACGCCATCGCCAACGGCACCAAAGTCCCGGATGTTGCGGAAGACCTGGTAGTCCGGGTCCTCGTGGTACGGAGAGAGGCCTTGGTGGGCAATCTCCTCCATCCAATATCCCTGGACGGCGCTGGCAGCTGCCAGGAGAAAAGCGGCCGAGACACGCATCGTGGGCTTCAATGGCTCTGACTTGGGGATCTGGCGAGTCTGGCGGGGAGAATTGGAAGAAGAGCCGACAGGGGTGACCGCGGGCTTCAGATGAGGGCGGCGGTAGAGGGGTCGAAAAAGAGTGTATGGGTGAGATGTCAATCTCGACCCTGTAGTTTGGGTTTGAAAGAGTGTAACGATTCCAACGAGGGACCTGGTGATGAGGCTATCTACTACCTACCTCTGTCATATAAGGAGAACGACGCGAATTCCGTCCACAGCATGAGACAAGCAGCTGAAGGAGGAGGGAGCGAGAAGCACTGCACAGGGACGGTTCTCGCAAGCGGGATCTGGCGGCTAGGCCGGGACTTATTTAGAGAAAAAAAAAGCAACGACATGTGCCATGGTTCTGCTCCAGACAGGGGATCCAAACTCGTTGAACCTGAGCTACCGCACAAGGAATTTCCCCGCCATCATCGGCTGGTGAAGCCTCTATTAGGATTGACCGTGCCGGACGCGAGGCCGAGTGGTAGCATTGGCGACGGGTCGCCGGGGTAAGACCGTGAAGTTTAAAAGGGGTAAGCTTATGATCTGTATTGGTCCCCTTGCAGGGAGAAGCATGGGGGTGCCACTGGGCCAGAATGCTAAGAGTGTGGAAAGGCTATGCTGATGCATCGAATAGGGGAATGATCCGCTCCATTGAAATGAGCCTGATTGGTGGTGTGGTGTCTTGACACCCAGATGCCAAGGACATGAAGGGGGGGGAGAGAGGTCTAGATGGGATGAACAGGGCCGATTTGCAACACTCTGCAGAGGCAAAGGGCCTTTGCAAAAGGTCATCGACTGACAACCGATCACAAGACGTTGTCATACTATGTAGAGGCGTAGCCGTTGATAGGCTGATGGTTGAACATAGTCGTTCCCTGATAACCTTGAGTTGCTGACAGTGCAAGGAAGCGAGTCAGCTGTGAAATGACTGACTGTATCTGTAACATGCGGGTAAACCTTAACATGGACCACGGTTGAGCCTCACCTCCGTCCAAGCCGGCGGCTGAGGGTTCGCCAGGCTGTGAAGGCTTGAAGTGTAGGTACATGTAGACACGCAGTCTGCATTCCACACGTGTTGTGGTGTCTTGTCTCGTCGCGCTCTGTCTTCCATCAGAGGGCAAGATCATCGCTGTCAGCGCTTCAGGGTCCCGACAACGTGGTTTCTCCAGTCCTTGTGGCACGCAAATCCACCTCGTCATTCGTCCCTGTGGCGATCTGTCGGCCATGCATGGTATTACAGAAATGTAGAATTTTTGTTGGCCCCCCATGTTGAACGTGGGGTTGTGCCGTTGGGTTTCTCCCCAGATGAATGAAGCCGCCATATTGGCCCCTCCCCCCCTGAACGCCGTCCATGCTTCCTCTATCGTACCAGTAATTGACCGTCACCAAACTATATGCGAAAAACCTAGTCGTGATTGCCGAGTGATAAGGCAGCGATGTCAGATGCTTTACAGGATCTTCGGCGCATCGCCCAATGCAACGGTCGATCCGAGATCCTTGACCATGCCGCTGCCGCTGCCGCCGGCCCTCTTGCGCAGGACATTCTCGATGAACGCCTCGCCCGCCTTGTAACTGCTCCTGACAAGGGGTCCACTCGCGCAGTACAGGAATCCCAAGTCCAGCGCGCGCAGACGCCACTTCTCAAACTCGTCGGGCGTCACGTACTTTTCCACCTTGAGATGGCGCTTCGTGGGACGCATGTACTGGCCAAAGGTCACAATGTCGACATTGGCCTTGCGGAGTTCTAGGAACTGTTAGCAAGTGGTACTGGTTCAGAGTCATCCAGCAAGGGGAAAACCCACGCTTCAGAGCATCCTCAATCTCGTGGTCCTGCTCGCCGAGACCCAGCATCATGCTCGTCTTGGTGATGAGGCCAGGCTTGGCCTCCTTGGCCGCCGCCAGCACGCCCAGGCTCTGCTGAAAGGTGGCGCGGCGGTCGCGCACAAAGGGCGTCAGCGCCTCGACCGTCTCGACATTGTGGGCGTAGACGTCGAGGCCGCTCTCGGCGACAATCTTGACCATGTCGAGGTTGCCCCAAAAGTCGCCAGTCAGGGCCTCGACCAGCATGCCGGGCTTCTTGGCCTTGATCTTCATAATGGTCTCGGCAAAGTGGCGGCGCCGCCGTCGACGAGGTCGTCGCGGTCGACGCTCGTCAGGACGACGTAGACGAGCCCCCAGCGCGCGAGGGCCTCGGCCGTGTGCTCGGGCTCGTGCGGGTCGAGGGGCGGCGGCGCGCGCGACGTCTTGACGCTGCAGAAGCGGCAGCCGCGCGTGCACGTGTCGCCCATGAGCATGATGGTCGCCGTCGCCGCGTTCTTGTCGTCGCCCGCCCCCAGCACTCGCCAATGTTGGGGCACCGCGCCTCCTCGCAGACGGTCGACAGCTTGAGGTCGCGCAGGTCCTTCTTGATCGCCGCAAAGTTGGCGTTGCCTGCCGGGATCGGCGTCTTGAGCCACTCGGGGAGCCGCGTCACCGTCTTCTTCTTGCCCGTCGCCGTCGTCACCTCGACTGTGCGGATCTCGTAGGCTTCCGAGGGCGAGAGGGGTGCCGAGCCACCCGTGGCGCCGCCGGCGATAAAGTCGTCGAGGGATGCGACTGTCTTGTCCTTGAAGTACGTCTTGCGGCGTGTCGTTGTCGGCGGCCTTGCCGACGAGGTTGTCGATGATGTGCTGGTCGTAGAGGGAGCTGGGGGGATGGTGGCGAAGGTGCGCAGTGTTGTGCGAGCAGCGAGAGCCCTTGCCAGGGGGCCTCGCACATGGCGGAGGGGAGCTGCTGAAGATGCCATTTGTGACGAGTGACGATGCAATCCGTGGCTCGCAGTATCGGGTTGATGCGAGTAGGCGAGATATCGTCCCAGGTGTCGTCGAGATTGAAGATTCAGGGCGGGTTCTGTTGGGGCGGCGACTCACGGAAGCTGGGGTCGAAAATTGATGACAATTGCATGTATCGGATTGAATCGGCATAAGACCCGACCCTCCAATAGCAGACAAGGCGGCTCCTGAATCAGTGAGTGCGGATGGTGACATATTTGCTACTACGTCGAAGCTCTGACCATCAAGGCGAGGTGGCAGAGTGGTCTAATGCGATAGACTAGAAATCTATTCACTTCGGTGGCGCAGGTTCGAATCCTGCCCTCGTCGAACTTTTAGTAGTGATCGGCGCGTGTCATGTTTTGTCGATCGCACATCTCTTGCGGACAACAACCATGACGGCAGCTTTGCTTCGCATATCCTGCCCCTCCCCTCAATAGTAACCCAGATTCAACATTCTGTAATCACAGGTCATGATAAGCCTCGAATGAGACGACATGATGTGCTTCACTCTCATCTACCTGGGGCCATCCTTGTTTGCACGAGAAGTCTCATTCAAATCTCAACTATCTTCATCAGGCGTCAAGGAGCCGTGGATTACGGGCAAAAATCAATCACCAACCGCATACCGAAAGGCACTCAGCTTTTGATCGTTCGTCACCCATCACCCACGACTCGCTTTGCCGCGTGATCTCAAGAACCTAAACCATGGGGTATCGTGTCAACATTCACAAGAAATGAACTGTTCTTCCGTCAAAAGCCTCCAAATCCTCCAAGCCAATAAAAACCCGCGCCACGCCATCCGCTGCCTGGACCTCTGCCATCCGCTGCATGCTCGTCCTCGGGTCCGTGGCCCAGGAGGCTTCGCTTCATGAGCGGACAGTACCTGGTGACGCTGACGACAGCCCAAGGGCCGCGCCATGACATCATTCGCCGGAGAGCAGTCCAGGTCGGAGAGGCGCATGATCGCACTCAACGCGACCAGTATTGTCGCCCGGACCATATGAAAGAAAGCAAAACAGAGTTTTTTGGTTTTCCCAACCAGACCAACCCCAACTCTGGTCAACACCGCCTAATGCAGGCCGACAAAAAATCCGAAAATTGTGAATAAAAGCCAAAAAAAAGGGGGGAGAAGGGCAAGGTAGAAAGGATGATCGCATCCGAAGAGTTCGTCAGGTGAAATGCATGGAAAGCGCCGCCTAGCTCCGTACGCTGTACTCCTCCGTTGATGTCATGTCTCTTGATCGTGTCTCGCGCCAGTTGGCACATGCCGTGGTAGGTATGTTACATCAGTGAGAGGGCAGCAAGACCGGCGATACCGGCCATGACCATGTTGGAGACACTGAGGGCCTGGCCGGCGTTCTCGTTGGAAGAGGTGACCTGGGCGGGAGCAGACGACGTCGTGGAGACGGAGACGGAGACGATGTCACTGGTGGCGCTGGGGATCTCAGACGTGATGGTCGCGTTGCGCGTGGCAGTGAAGGTGGCCGTCTCGACAACCTTGGCGAGCATGATGGTCTGGGTCAGGGTGACGGTGGCAGTCGTGATCGAAGTGTCGTACTTGTCGTCCTTGTCATCCTCGCCCTGGGCCATGGCCAGGGCGGGAAGGAAGATGGCGCTGAAGAGCGTGGTGGCCTTCATGTTGTTGATGGTGGATGATGGGATGATTGATAGTTGAGGGCGCTGTCAAAGCGGCGTCGTAGTCGTCGTAGATACAGGGTATGTCTGATGATCTCCAAAGAAAGAGGGTGATCGTCGAGATATGTCCAAAGGAGGGCGTAAAAGTCTTATGCTTTCAGATAGTCCAGTCTGGGGATGCTGTTTCCAAATCTCTCAAAGATAGTGTGGCCCTGGCGACGTGTATATGCTCCGAGAGGGGGGGCTCAGTGTCCATATATCGAGTCGACGATGTGGAGAGGCTGAAGGGGGCCGAAACGGCAAAGTGGGTTGTTTGTGTATAAGTGAGGTTGTTTCGCGAGGGTCCTGATGCGCTCGAGCGTGAACAGCGGCTGAGACTTTGCCAACGAAGTCTGTGTGTTGTTGAAGTAGACGGAGGTTTGAGGTGCGGTGAGGTGAGGGTCGTGAAAAGATGAGCAGTGAAAGGAGCGCAAGCGCGGGTCTATGAGGGAAATGGAGGGCGAGGCGCGGGTTAAAGTGGCTTCAGACGCGGGAAGAGAAGGACTGGACGAGGGAGGTGTGGGTGGGCGGGAGTCAAAGGAAGGTGTACAGTAGTGAGTGGATGGTGTGGGTGGGCAAGGTGGCAAGGCGGGGTGGAAAATGACTTTCTTCACGGCCCTTGGATCGGGGGGGGGGGGGGGGGGGGGGGGGGGGGGGGGGGGCGAAAGACACTACCACCACAGCAACCAGTCTAGGCGAACCCACACGGAGGTGTTAGGTAGGCGCGACGGGTATCTGGGACTGGACTGGAAACCGCCCAGCAGTACCCCAGCAGGAACGGGAACAGGAGCAGGAGCAGGAGCAGGAGCAGTTGGCCAGCACAGGGCAAGCAAGGAAGGCACGCGAGACGTTGTGCCAGGGCCTCGGTGCGACAGAAACCAACAAGCAGGGCCGAGTGGTGGGTGCGAGACCCCTGCCAAATGCTGCAAGTGCCTGCAAGGTACCCGACCGCAAACCCCCCCGTCAGGCCTTGAGCCCAGACCTTGGATGTCTCGATACTTGGTGTCTCGCCCAGATTCCCTGTCAAAGGGAAGTAGGTGTACATCAATGTCGCAGCGGTGGGGGAAATTAGAAGGCACCTCAGTCCCAGCGTTTGTCCTGCGTTTCGCGGTTTGCAGGCCATGTACCGACCATCATGCTGTCATGGGTGGGTGCTAGCCAGCAACACACGTCGGGCGCTGTACCTCCATTGTACATTGTGCGCCGGTGAGTCGCAGCGAGCGCTGGCGAACAAAGGGCGAACACCATTTCGCTCAATTGATCGCATGTCTCGACCTGACGGCTGTATTGCGCCCGACGTCACTAGAAGCGAGTCATATTCCTATTTCTCCTAGTCGCCGAACCTGCCTAGTTACAAGTTATCAACGGACCTAGATTCAGATGGCATGTGTGTTCGGAAATGAATGAAAGCCCTCGTGAGCAGGCTCATTAGACGCTTTTTATCCCAAATTGACGCCATTCACAGAACTGGGCAGCTCATCTTGTGAAGACGCCTCATGCGCGCCCACGAGCCCACGAGCCCACAAGCCAACGAAGCCCGCGCCCCCCTCAAAGGGCGCTCTGCACAATTTCCGATGTTAAACCTGCCGTCTTTCATTGGCCTCCAGGTACCGCCCTGTACCTGGTTGTGCCTGGTTCCTGGCGCTAGGCCTGAAGTGACCGGTGAGTGGTCGCCTGTGGGTCTGTGCAGCAAATTTCTGATCAAGATCTCCCGCACTTTCTGCTGTACATGGTACAGTATACCTTTTGACAACCGCGCATCACGTCAGGGAAGGTAACAGGGAAGGAAGGTACAGTGGTATCCGTACCTTCCCGGCTTCCCATCGCTCCTGCCCGTCCCCTCCTAGCCTCATTGTCCGGCGAAGATCATCCTTTTGCGGAGGAGGGGGAGGGGGCCTCGCCCTCTCTATTGCTGTGCAGACGTGCAGACTCTGCTGTCCCAACTCGCCCGTGTGTCCACATGCCCACACCTACCTACCATCTACCCACAACATCCCGAAGCGACAAAGGGTTGACAAGTCAGACTTCCAATCGGCAATCGACAGGCTGCAGTAGTCACCACCACCGCCGGGAAATCTCTGATCTGCCAACTCTGTTTGCAGACTGATTGAAGATTTTTTTTTCCGTCTTGCAAAGTGGCGATACTTGCCGCGACTCTTGGCCTCAATCGAAGCGTCTCGACCTTGGCTCGACTCATGGTCGGCTGGACCCGACCGCGAAACGTCTTTGTGCCGCTGTCGTCCCTCAGTCGTCGCAAAGTTTGTCTCCTGGGCACCCAGGGCACCTTGGCCCCAAGGCACCTTGACCCCCCCTTTCGTGCGGAAGCGCTGAAACGAAGATGGCTCCAGACGAACCATGACGGTGACATCGTTGTCCACGCCGTCCACAGGGGGACGACGAGACAAGACGCGTTGTGGCCATGGTCACCCTTGGGTCCCGACGTAGCACCATCGTGACACCAGCGTCTGCACGCCCACGCCCTCCCTCGCCGTTCAGTTTGTCTCTGCTTGGTCTCGAGAATTGCCCTTGTTGCCGTTACTCTGCCTTGGCCCACTCAGCACAATGCGCCGACAGCACCACCACCCTGATCAAATCGCGCGCCGCTTCATTGGCTGTCGGCTGCTTCACCTGAATCGTGGCCAGCCCCAAAAGCCGAGCCACCACTGAATCACTGAATCACAGGCATTGCGTGCGCCCTTGGCTCTCCCGCGGCAGCTCTGTCCGTCAGTGACCACCAACGTCGCAGCGTGTACAAACGCCGCAAAACGTTCCGACAAGGGCGTCAGACAAAGCAATAGGGGACCTGTCTCGACTTTGTGGACTGTGGCGCTCTCGCTCTGCCGCCCCTCGCTGTCGTCATGATGGACCTCGATTCGGGACACATCGCCTGGTCCCTCCCTTAGTACAAGTATGCAGACGCCGTACCGCGTTGCGCTGTCCCTTGGCTTTAATCGTTGGCCAAGTCGTCGCCACGTCGACTGGCTTCCAGGCAGTCACGCTGGCAACCGCTGTTGTACAGTGGTCTAGAGTGATGGAGCTGAACAACGCGACTGAATCGTGACGACAGATGGGTCCCCAACGGCATGCGCCTTTCAGCAGGTATCGATTCTTCAACGTTCTGACAAGTTCTTTGCGTGCTACTCATTCCAGAGTCACAATGGTACCTGCATGCCTCGCTTTGTCGGGAACTTGTCATCATTCCGCGCAAACCCAATAGGCAGGACTCGCCGTGTTCAACGCCATATTCAACGCGTGTTTCCAACCATGGCGGCTTTCAGGGTCCTCACCCAAGAGCGAAGACAATTGGGAAACGGAATCCCCGTCCATTCTCATCATAGGTCGTCTCGGCGATGCGCGACCATGAAGTACAGGTAGGTCTGTTCGTAGGCAGCTGGATTTGTCCTTGGTCGTCGTACCAGTCCTGAGTCGTCGTGTGCACATCCATCCTGGCTTCCTGCGGCAGTTACGTTGGTGTTTAGGAGTGTCAGAACATATCTACTGAAGTCGTGCTTGATGGCAGAAGCATCGTCAGTTATCGCTGCATTCCTGGCACGGTGCTTCCCCGCGCCGATGCTATCGAAGCGACAGAAATGTAGATGACGCATGGCCTGTGGAATATTTCGAGCACTAGCCATTCGGTCTAGTTCGATACCCAACGCGCTCTTTCAGCTCTGTTCGGGTCACGACGCCACCACGGAACGTTGCACCGCTTCTCCAGGCGACTTGGGCCAGTCGGTTTGTGGTGCTTAGGGTTCGCCACGATTGAGGCACATCTCGTGTCTTGGCATGAAGACGACCACAAAGGGGGACTGCGAAGTATGTTATCTGGCTCTTGGAATTTCCCTGCCGGTCTATCAGCCACTCTGGGTATGGCTAGCCCTCTGTGCAGATCGATGCCATCGAAGGGTGAGTAGAAGCAGAGAGGCTTCTATGCGTGCGTGTTTGCGAAAAGCTGTAAAGCATAGTCCCCGAGGAATATGCGCATCTCAGACACTCGACCTTTGCGAAGCAGTGGTCTGTACCGAGACACGCAGACCAAGGAGTGCTCATCACACAACAGAGCATGATCTCTGTATTTTATCTTGGCTCTTTCGCACCAGGTGGTATATGATAAATGCCGCTGGATGCTTACCTCGATCGATCGCAGTCGATCTTGAGAGGGTTGTCATTACCTTTTCGGCATTTCCATCTGTGACTACTATGGGTACGATTATCAAAGCAAGACAAAGACACGATGAGTCCAGTCCAATGCATTGGTGGAAACCTTTGATGAGTGGAACAAAACATAAATATTTGATTGTAATCCATGACTGATATTCCTATACTTCACGGCGTCATCTAGACATCTTGAGAGACGGCTCATTCAAGTGCGAACAAGCGAGCATCGCCTGCAAGTCGCATTCTTATACATGCCTGCGAGAGCAATTGCAAGATCCACCGAATGTTTGGTGGGACAACTTGTTTATTATTTGCCATTAACTACGTATCATTGTCGAAATGCTACCACCTCTGACCTCGATTCAAACCCTAGAGTCCGGCAACAAAGGTTTAAGAACCGGACCCACCACCGCATGTTTCAGCTCCAGTCTGATGAATCCTCCGACAGGAGTTGCGAATCCTTGGCTGTGATGACGTTCCAGAACTTAATTGCAAACTCAATCTGGTAGTCGAGAAGGAGCTGATCAATGCATGCCTCGATATCAGACCGCCGCAGCTGCAGATCTGGAGATGGAAAATCAACAGAGGTCTCGAACGCGACTCTTTCTTTCTGCTGTCCACTAGTTGCAGGCATGAATACCTCCAGTCCGCCAGGCCAGGCCCTTTCGGCCGGTTGACGTTTGCCCGGTCCACCTTGTGCTTATTGATTGTAACCGAGACGTCGCTGGCTGTGGTGCGAGGATCGAGCTGGATACATCGGCAAGCCTTGTCTTTCAGATTTAACGTCGCCGTCAGCTTGGAGCCTGCTGCGCCCACTTTACGACAAAGCTCCTGATACCGGGCTTCGGGTTATCACACTGCGTCGTCTTTGGCACCTTCAGAAGGTCGAGCTATCAGGTCTGGCCGTTCACGACAGGAATTGCATAGGCCGTTGGTTTCTTTCCCACCATTTTCCGGAATGACGGCAGCATCAAGAGGGATGATTGAACCCTCACGTGCAAAGACGGGCATCTCGTGTAGAGGTCGGAAAACTGCCAGCTCGCGGCTAACATCATGTACCAGCCCGGTCAAAATGACTACATAGCGGGCCGCACCCGGCGGAAACCAGTCTTGAACGCTAGAAAGACCCGTTGAGCTGGGTTCCGAACCTATACTGGTTCGGCTGTAAGCCTCATCGAGCGCAGAGTACTCCCGGTCAGCTGAACGAGGGCCTCGTTCTCTGTCGAGTCTCTGATGCTCAGGCTGTGTAGATACGGGAGCTGCCGATGGCGTAGTTGGAGGAACTTCGTCATGACAGCTTGGCACTCGGCGCGGTAGAAACAGGGCGGCAACTGCAGTGAAATACCTTGTCTGGGCAGAAGAATGAATGACATTGCCGTCAGGTGCAACTGCATGATGGGCCTGTGATGGGTAGACATCAGCGTGGCACCCCGATCAAATATAACAAGTTAAATCATCAAACAACTAAACAAATAGACCGATTTCCCAGAGTTGAAAAACTAAATCTATAGTATTTCGATATTTGGATGTTTGGCAAACGTTCAAATACAAATTGGGGCCCGAAATATAGCTATTCCGAGCCCCAGGACCCATATAAAGGCTTATCCGACTAATAAAAACAATTGTACTATTAATAAGAGGGACTCTCTCATTAATGTACGATACCGCTAATAGTGGGATTCGAACCTATAACCTCTAGTAGGGCACTAGAGATCCTGACTAACTAGGCTACTAGCTTCTTTTGGTTTTCATTAAGAAAACCCTATATATATTATCTAATTAGCTTATACCTGCGCGCGTAGGGCGTTAGAACCTAGGGTAATTCCCCTAACATCGTGATTCAGCAATTACACTAACGTAACACCACGAAATCTAGGTCTTAGGTAGTATTAAGAGGGCTTCACTACTTATGTGAACCCCAATTCAGTACTTTGGCTATGCCTGCGAGCTCTGAATAGGTAGGGTAGGTGATATAAGACTAATGATGTGATTGATGCTATCTCTCTGAATCACTACTACCTACGTGAGTTAGATATACCTATCTGATTCACCGATTACGTAAGCCGTGATTTACGTGCTCGTGAGAGCTATGAATCCCAGCTACGGTAATCCTACGGTGATCACTATATCGGTGATTACCGTCCTAGGGAATCCCCTAATATTGGTTTAATAGGTAGGCTAATAACTATCGTGATAGCTTCATTACGAACTAAATAAGTCAAATATTTGCAAATAGGACTAAATAACTAAATCCGTCGATTTCGGCGGACTAAACAACCAAATCCGACACCCATATTTGACTTGTTTGGTCGGAGTGCAGCGCTGGTAGACATTGCGCAGGACGCAGACACTACGACGTCTAAACCACTTAATATCTGTGTCGCTGTGTAAACTGATAGTCACCACTTCGGCGGCTTTGCCCTTTGAACAATGAGGCACACGCGCTTCTTGACGGATGCATTCTGGAACGATGATGGTGGAACATGCTGGCAGTCATATATTACCTACTCGAGACTATTCATGTTGAGTTCTGTTCTACTTCATTTCGTGACAGCCTCGGGTGTTTTTCTGGTGTTTTCGGCGGACACCTGTTGATACAAATGGAAATGACCAGGTTTATATAAGGACCAAGGCCTGAGTCAAAGTGCATCTTGACAGATCATATTTAGGATTGAATAGCATGAAGGGGCGCGGCAACCTATACTGATGGGCAAGATGTCCTGCAATTTCTTCCCCTCTCCACGAATGCGGACTATTAGACCAGTTCCATCCTATCCCCTCAATAGGGGGTGATACGCAAAGATCAAGTTCAGAGACCAAAGTAATGCAGCCTAGTTGAATTAATGACATTGATCTAAGACGTGTCCTGTTAGCTCAATTGAATAGCTGCTATGAGGCACTTACGACCGTTTGAGGGATGCCACTCCCTCCCTTTAGGGCCAAACATAACAATTTACTTAGTTGACAGGTTGCGACACTGATTTCTTAGGTTGAAAAAGAGCTATTGAAATCAAGGGCACTCCGAGCCTTACTGCTCGCCATTACTTTTGTCCAATATGTAGAGCTTGGTGGATGAATGGTGCTCACTGACTATCCCGCCAAAGAAATACAGAGCTGACTGGTAAATGGAGGCCGAGGGGTAACTAACACTGCCTAGGTAGTCGCGGGGACGACGGCAAACACCGCGGTTTAAACGTTGACACATGATACAAGCATTTCCTGTACGAAAAACGTAGGCTCTATACTTTGCTGGACCCTTTCAGACAAGGGCCTAGGATGAGACCGCGAGGAGGGAATCGGGGCTAGAGACGGCCTTAGGAGTGACCAGTTCGCTACAGACCTCTAAGCTTTGTTGCACCTATTGTCATTTTGCTGGACAGTCACCTTTGGATAAGTGCTCTTGTTTAGTACCTCGGCGAAGGACAGTGTGAGAAATCGACCCAAACTGGAGATACTCTGCACAAAAGGTGTGTCAGAGATCCAGATCACTACATCTGTCTTGTCAGGTGGCCCTGCGGAGCTACTAAGCAGCGGAGTCGGTCAGGGGTTAAGGGCCACGAGAATGTGTATGTGAGGAGCTGCAGAGGGCCAGAATTCAGATGTGTACCGACCCCCTACGTATATTCTATTACCTGCGGACCACGTGTGAAGGACCTCTTCACTCTGTTCTAAACCACGCTCTGACATGTCTATACTTTCCAGCTTTCGGATCTAGTCTTGCGGCACCGCTCTTTGATTTTCATTAGACAGACTTCAATCCCAAGCCCCCCTGGATTCTACATCGGCACTGAAGCTCCCGCTAGAGCAAAGCTATAGCCAAAATCTCGCCTCCCTGTAGTTCTAGGATTCTATTCAGCGAAAGCTCGCGCTATGCTTGTGTCCGCCACCCCGCTTTGTTGTCTGCATGAGAAGTGCGGCACGGCATCTGTTGGAGTCTGCTGCTTTCATTATGCGCTTTTGTCTTCAGCTATCGCATTACTCTAGCGGGATATGCTTACTGCTATTTCTGTGCCAGGTGCTAAAACTACCGCAATGGTATTCACAAGATGATGCCCCCATGAGCCGCAAGACCTCTTCAACAACTTTGCCAGGGATTGGGAATGAATGGCACTTGAGATGTATATTTAAATCCACTGGATGAGAAACCTATTTATAAAGTAACTCTACATTGACCGAATACAGGAACATAGCCTCACCCGATCACACCAACTGGCCTTCGGAAAAGCCATGCAACCCTCCACGCCCCCCTCAAATAGCAGCTCTTTCCACCGTGACCTCAGGCAAAGCAGCATCTCCGCTGCCGAAAACACCGCCATCGCCCCCCCGCAAGACGAGATCGGCAAAGTCACCGAGGATACCAGCTACGACCTCGCTCGCACGGCCAAACGCCAAGGTTCCGATCTGCGACTGCAGCAGCGCAGCGGCGTCCGCGGGCAGCTCGAGGTCCAGCGTCTTGATGAGGGTCGGAAAGTCGGTGAACGAGGCGTGCACGGTGCCGTTGACGGCGAGCTGGGCCTTGGGCCCGCGCAGCGCGGCGAAGAAGGTGGTCCACGTCGTGTCCTCGTCCTCGTGACCGGGGCGGCCGACGAGGGCGAAGGGGCCCGAGACGCCGGCACTGAGGACGGGTTCCGGGAGGAGGCCGTCCAGGTTCATGCCGGCCACGAAGCGCGGGTCTGTGAGCATGGCGGAGGCGGCGGTGGCGCCGCCGAGGGAGTGGCCCATGATCAACGGGGCGGAGGTGTTGATGCCCGGGGTTGGGGTATCCAGGAGGTGGGTTAGGAGGAAGGATGCGTCCTCGGCGCGGACCTGGGTGAGCTTGCCGATGGCGGCCATGTCATCGGTGTCGATGTTCGCGGCGGCGTAGACCTCGCCGTCGGGAAACTCAACATAGCTGGCGTCGTAGGGGTGGTCTACGGTGACGACAGCGAAGCCGTGGCTGGCGAGCTCTCGGGCCATGGCACCGTAGAGGAGGCGGGGGTTGCCCCAGCCGGGTGAGAAGATCACCAAGGGATAAGTGGCGGAGGGGGCGCGGCAGGGCGAGGTTCTGGCAACGCAGAAGTCCAGCTCGAAGGAGGAGAAAGTGCCGTTAGGCAGGCCGATTGCGACGCCGAGCTGATCGTACGCCTCGGCAACGAGGGGAGTCATGTAGGGAACGGTCTTGTTGTTGCGACAGGGCGTCTCAGTTTCATTGACAGGGAGAAACGTCGATATCAGGATACGGCGAGCATGCGTAGCATTAGCCGGGGCGTACGGATCGAGGCGGCTCTCGTCGGTGAGCGGCGTCACGGACATGGAGACGGCAAAGGGGCCCGTGGGAGGGGCAACAAGGATGGCCTGTGCCGTGGAGGCGAGGGCCACAATGTTGATAATCGACTTCATGGTGTAGCCGTGTAAGACAAGTGATAGAAAGTGCAGTTTCAAGATGGAGATGAGATATGGGAGTGAAGCCTAGATTGACGGGATGGATGTGATTCTGGTGTTTGGATGAGGTTGACACCAACCCCAGTGGGCGCGAGAACCACCATTTTATACTCTGCTTCTCTGGTGCCTGATTTCTCTCCTCACGATGACTTTCAATGTTGACCGCAACGTTGATGCCATTTCGGGCGAGGTCTGGTGGAGTGAGCGTCGAGGCTCGGCGCGGGTGTCCGAGTCAGGGGTAAGATGAGCGGAGAATTTCGAAAACCGACAGCCCTGCAAGCCATATTTCATTGGATCAGCTCTAGCGCCGCTCAAATGCTTCCGAATCGGGTTTCGCGCTGGTCCGCAGTTTGCCGTGCGGCCTTCGTCTCGGGCCTCAGTTCGCAAGGTCAAGGTCCGACTTCACTTGGCATGGTTGTCATGTCATCAGGTGACAGGATTGTCATCAGGTGACAGGATGACAGGTGGATGCCGATACACGGAGCTCTGCAGATATTCCTTTCCATTGACAAGCCTTGACGCGATGCTTTCCCCCTTTCCCTTTCAGGAACCATTCTCGCGATGCTAGCTGGCCCCTTTGATCTGCGGACTCGCCGTTCGCGGTGTACGCAATGCGTCAAGTCGCACTCCAAGGTATGTTGAAGCGGTTTGCCATGTGATGTTCTGTGCTTGTTGTGTCAGGTAACTTGTGGATGAGAGTTGAGGTTCTGGAAGACACGAAGAAGCATGATGCATGCACCATGATGCCATGCCCAGAATCCTCAGCCACAAACAGCTGCATGCTTCTGCCAGTATGATAGACATGGTTCGAGAACTGACGCTCCCAGTGCTCCGGGTCAACCCCCTGCACCAGCTGCCTCAAGCGCAAGCTCACCTGCGTCTTCCCCAGCCAGACGACGGCCAAGCGAGGAAAGGCCATTACCCTCGACCAGGGCAAACACCTCACTCAGATCACCTTTGCCGTCTCCTCCTCGTCCTCGTCCTCCTCGACGTCCCCCGTCGTCTTCACCCCCTCCCCGTCGCCAGCCCTGCCCGACCCGACGGCCCACGCCCTCTCCCTCTTCACAGCCTTCATCGCGCGCAACAGCTTCACAGGCCAGTCGATGACCTATCTCGCCGACCTGCCGCCCCTGCTCAGTCCGTCCTCGCCCCTGCTCCCGGCCCTGCACGCCCTGGCCAACCTGCAGCTCCGCCGCCCGCGGCCCGCCCTCGAAGCCTACGGCACAGCCATAGTCTCCCTACGCCACACCCTCGCCTCCGCGCCAGCCGCCTCCGTTCCGGCGAGCGGCGCCTCCACCCCGACCTCCGCCGCCGACGCGATGCGCACGACCGTCCTCTGGACAACCTTCCTCCTCGGCCTCTTCGAGCTCATGACCGACGCCTCGGGCGCGGGCTGGGTGCAGCACATGGTGCACGGCACGGCGCGTGCGCTCGTGGCGCTGGGGCCCGCGGCGTGCTCCGCCCGCAGCAGCAGCGCCGTGGGGCGATTCTTCCTGCAGGTGCGGGCGTTCGAGGCCTGCCGCGCCGTCATCTTCAACGAGGTCTCGTTCCTGGGAGAGGACAGCTGGCGGGCCGTCGTTGGGGGGCAGACGGAGGAGGATGCCGTGCTGGATGTCATTGTGCGCTGCTCGGGGCTGCGCGTTCGGTGAGTTGCGGCCGTCGGAGCCTTCTCCCTTCTCTCTCTCTCTCTCCTGTTTTCTCTCTCCCCCGTTTTCTCCGTCTCTCTCTCTCACCCTCGTTCTCCTCGTTCTCTCCTGTTCTCTCATCTCACTTCTGGCAGAGTACTGACGTAGCAGAACATCCGACTTCATCAAAAACCTGACAGATCCCCCCTCCCCCTCCGAAACACTCACAGCACTAACCCTCGCAGAAGAGGGCGCAACGCTGCGCGCCGTCCTCGAGGCGGCCCCGTCCCGCTCCCTCCTCACCAGGCTCCTCGTGGCCGCGACGAGCATCTACCTCTCGGGCAACTACGACTACGACCTGCCGGCGTGGCGAGGCCTCGGCGTCGCGGTGCCGACGCTGCCGGCGCCGACGGTCAAGACGCACTGCGAGACGATCGGGGCGTGCGCTCGCGAGGCGCTGAAAGAGAGGAGCCTGTCGCCGCTGCTGCTGCTGTATCCGCTGCGCGTGGCTGGCGCGCGAGCCTGGACGGTCGAGGAGCAGGTGCTGGTCGATGGGTTGCTGACGGAGGTTGGGCGGGAGTTTGTCGTGGCGGAGGCGTTCCTGGGGGAGTTGAGGGAGATTTGGCTGGTGCGGAACGAGATGGCGGCCCTGGTTGGAGCCGGGGTTGCATGACGATCATATTTACGGGTATTGATGCTAGATATATACAACCCGAATGATGACATGGGAGCCCAAGCGCTAGCTACACAGAGATGCATACCCATAAATACAGCTTTCAATGGCAAGCTAGATACGCCCATGCTCATAGTTCCCCCCTGACCGCTGGAGAGAACTGGACCCGGCCAGCAAATCGGAGTCGAACAGCTTACGCCAACCCGAGCAGCTCCTGGGCCTTGGTCCGCAGCTTGAACTTCTGAATCTTACCGCTCGCCGTCTTGGGATAATCATCCACCCAAAACACATGCTTCGGCACGAGGTGGCCAGAGAGGTGCTCCCGCACCCAGCTCCGAACATCATCCTCCGTGAGTTCCTTTCCGCCCGCCGACCCCGCCTTGGCGCGCACCACAAACGCGGCAACATTCTCGCCCAGCTTGTCGCAAGGGACGCCGACGACGGACGCATCACTGACGAGCGGGTGCTGCAGCAGGCAGTTCTCGACCTCGAGCGGGTGGATATTCTCGCCGCCGCGGATGATGAGATCCTTGATGCGGCCGGTGATGGCGACGTAGCCGTTGGCGTCCATGCTCGCCTCGTCGCCCGAGTACATCCAGGTGCGGCCGTCTGGCTCGTCGATGCGGTCCTCGGCCGTGCGCGCGGCGTCACCCCAGTAGCCGCGCATGACGAGGTAGCCGGCGGCGGCGAGCTCGCCCTTTTCGCCTCGCGGCAGGATGCGCGAGCGGTCGAGGGGGTCAACAACCTTGATGGCGGTGTGGGGCATGGCGCGGCCGACAGTCGTGGTGCGCAGTTCGAGGGGGTCGTCTGGCTGCGTCATGCAGCTGACGGGGCTCGTCTCCGTCTGGCCGTAGCAGATGACAAGGTCGCGCAGGCCGAGGCTTGCGTACAGGCGGCGCATGAGAGCCTCGGGTACGGAGCTGCCGGCCGCGATTCCCTTGGTCAGGTTGCGGGGGAGGTCGGCGGGATCGACGACGCCGGCGGCCAGGGCGTCGAGGACAGCGATGAACATGGTGGCGACGCCGTAGAGGCCTGTCGCGTCGTGAGCGGCGACGGTTCGCAGCGTTGCCGAGGGGTCAAAGGCGGGCGAGGGAAACAGGATGGCGGCACCCGTCGTGGCTGTGGCCATGTAGCCGAGGATGCAACCGAAGCAGTGGAAGAGAGGCGGTGGCACGACGATGCGGTCGGAGGGGTTAAGCCCCATGCGGCCGGCAATGAAGGCGCCGTTGTTGAGGATGCCCGTGTGTGTGAGCATGGCGGCCTTGGGTGTTGATGTCGTGCCCGAGGTGAACTGGATGTTGATCGTGTCTGACGCTGACAGCGGCGCGTCTGGTGTGATGGCGTTGAGGGACCCGTCAATGAGACGATCAAAGGGAGTCAGGGCGCGGAACGATTTGAGAGGAAAGTTGACGAGGGGATGAGACGCTGTGTTGTCGAGAACAACAATCGTCTTGAGTGACGGGACGGTGGGGGATTCAACCTTGGTCCCTTCAAGGTTCGGCACGAGCGCCCGCAGCAACTCTTCGTTGCTTCGCCCGCGGCACGGCTTATAAGCCAAGTCTGTCACGGCCCCAATGATGAGGACCTCGACGCCGAGAAAGTCAAGACCAGCCGTCACCTGCTTGACGTTGAAGCCAGGATTAAGAGGGACTAGGATGGCGCCGAGCTTGAACGCGGCATAGGTCAAGGCGGCGAACTCGCTGCAGTTTCCGAGGCTCACGGCCAGACGGTCGCCTTTCTTGATGCCGAGAGAGCGCAGGCTGTTAGCGAGACGATTGGAGAGAAGGTCCAAGGCTTCATAGGTGAGGCTTGTCTCCCGAAAGTCTGCCACCGAGGGGGGCAGGTCTGGTGCCACTGCCGTGGGCGAGCGAGCGACGACTGCTGGCCTGTCGCCGAACTGAGAAACGATGGATGCGAAGTGCTCTGGAATCGTGTGGGGAAGCAACGCAGGCTGACCCATTGTTAGAGCTTGAGATCCTCTCTCGTGGTGGTCTCCCCGTGGAGAAACGTACCTGGTCAGGGCCAACACTGAGGCTGTCCCTCATTGCGGAGAGACATCTTCGCGAAGCCGGATCTCTGAGTCTGAGCAGCCTCTCTAGAGACCTGGGGCTGCGCCGCAGGCATCGTGAAGGGGTCAGAAGCATGGCTGATGGGCAGGCGGAGGGAGGATATTGTTGAGAAGAAGAGGGGTTGCTGGCACCCTATGAAGCCGGCAGACTAGGACAGCTCGGCGTTATCGTTCAGGAGCATCGAATTGAAAGAATAAGATGGAAGAAGCTGGGACAGGGAGAATGAGAAGCAGTTGTATGACCGTCCAAGCAAAGCAGCAGAGGAAGAGGCAGATGTCGTTGAATGGACGAGCGGTGATCATGGCTAGCGACGGGCAAGAGCCGCCTTTACCTTGGCTGGCGTTGAGCCTCGGGGAGGTGCATCCGCCAAGACGGGGAAAGCACGATGCGGAGAGACTGCGGGGTACGTACTCTTGCCGTCCCTAGCCGCTTTGGCCTCCAGGTACACCCATCTCCTGAGGTACCCACACACCTAGTAATGCCTACCTAGGCAGGTACGTAGGCACGGATCACGGCTGCTTCTCCAACACCCACCATGACACCCTCTCGGCCGAAAGCAATGACAAGACAGACGTTTAATCGCATCAATTCCTCTCCTCCGACTCTCCTTCAACTGGGTATAATACAAAGAGAGTCTACATCCCACACCACGTCCTGCTCTTCAATTCCTCGACATGATGCTACGCTCCATCGTCCTCTTCCACCTCTCGGAACCCGCCCCAAAAGCCACCAAAACCGTCTATGCGAAAGTAACAGAAATACATCTATGCGCGATATCGCCCTGTCGCCCTCCGCGTGATGCACGCGGTCGCTCCGAGGGCCGTCGCAGGGGGGGGGACGTGCGATGGAGGGACGAGCCAGTCGTGCCCATGGGCGGGCAACCCAAACATCCCAACGCCAGGTTGTAGTAATGCAATGTGCCAGAATGTGCACTCTAGTCAGAAACGAACAGGAATAGAAACAAGGTCGTGTCGTCGTGGCAGGGCCCGTGGCAGGACCCGCGGTAAGGGCCCGTGGCCGCTAATCGTTGTTTTCGCCAATGTGACGCAGCGCCTCGGGCTTCCACGTGCCTGCGAGGCAGGGTCAGTAAAAGAGGTCGCGGAAACAGACCGCTCGGCGATCGACATACCTTCGAACTCGTGCTTCACAAACGCCATCGGGTCGTCGTCGTCTTTCGCCCCCATCTGCTGCACGCCTGGGCTGAAGCTCGTAATCGGCAACACGACGACGTCGCCCACCTTCTTCGACTGCTCCATGCCCGTAAAGTTGCGCCAGTCAATGGGGCCCTTGGAGTGGGCCATGTCGAAATACCGCGCGTCGTTGAGGTAGTCGAACACCGTGTCCGTCCACACAGCCGGGCCGGTAAACTCGACGACGTTGTCGTCCATGACCTTGGACAGCTGCCCTGCCTTGACCCTCCTGAGCGTCTCCTTTGTGATGCGAGCGACAATATCGCGGAGAACCGGGTGGCCGGGCTTCGCCTGGATGGTCCACTGACAAAACTGAATCCTGCGGCTGTACCAGTCGTGCCAGTCGGGGCGGTCGGGGTCGGCCTCGATGCCGATGACGAGGCCAATGGACGTAGTCGGGATGCGGTCGGGAACCCAGTCGAGCGCAGACCGAATGGCATACGTGTCGATGTCAGAGTAGATGCCACCGCGCGCCAGCAGGATGAGGTAGCGGAAAAAGTCGGCCTTGAGCACGGGCAGCGGCAGCGCGTTGTAGGCTTCGAGCACCTCGGGGACAGAGGCGTACAGCAGGCGCAGCAGGTTCACTGCCACGCTGTCGGTGATGACCTCGTGGATGAAGCCGGGGTGCTGCTCCGACCAGCTGGCCTCCTGCTCCCGGAACTCGAACTTGCTGTCCTGTGGTGTCGTCTTCCACGTCTGCCACACGTAGGCAGGGAACTTGGTCTCGACGTCATAGGGATATTGGTACGCCAGCTTCTCGTAGAGAGGCAGTTTTGACATGTCCATCATGGGCTTCTGCGCGGAGACGCGGGCGTTGGGGTCGGTATTGCGGTGGGGAGACGACGAGGGCGTCGCCGGTTGCTTGGCATCGTTGGCATCGTTGGCTTTTTGCGTGTTCGGCGCCGCTGGCGATTTCGCTATTGGCGTGTTGTGGGTTGATGTGATGAGATAGAAGACGAAGAGAACAAAGGCCGCCGCGGCCAGGGCTCTCCTCGGTGTCAGCATGCTGAAGTTGATCTGTCAAGGGCGGCAGGTATGTAAACGGTATGCGTCTTGTCTAGTAGCACTTGAGGCTGGGAGGCAGAGGCACTTGCGCTGTGGTCGTGATGAGGTTCGAAAGTCGGACTGAGGTTGTCGTAGATTAGGATCGCCCGTTTGGTAAATGGCGAGTAGAAAGATTGGGTCGGTTGGTTGGCAGAAAGTGGTTCTGGGAGGTTTTGGTCAGCTCAGAAGTCCGGTTCCGCGCTGACGACGCGCACCATGGGGGCTGATCATGCCGTTTTTCAGACAAGTGGGCGGGTAACAAAAGGTGGACAGGCGACAACGAGCAAGGAAGGACGGGACCAGAAAAGGGTAGTGGGGAGGTCTTGTTTGAGGGCGCGACCAGAAGAAGCAATGCGATGGCGGGTTGGGACCAAGTGTCTCGCCGTGTTGGCCAGATGGAAGGCCTCGAGAATGTCTCGCAGCGAGGAAGGCTGTGAGCCGCCCTGACCCCAAAAGGCAGTGCTGATGACGAGGACGCGTCGCCGTCGGGGAGGCTGCCGAGTAGCGGCGGGGGAGATCCGAGACGAACCTTTGAATTGAGCCCGATGATGCGATGCACAACGGACGCAGCAGAAGAGAATGCGTCGTCGTGTCCGAATGGGCGACAGTAGGGGAGCGAAGTGCCGGCGACAGGCAGGCGGTGGGCGAAGAAGAAGAATCAGAGGGAGGAAGAAGAAACAGAAGAGGGTCGAGTGGG